AGTAAAATGAGAGGGTTAAGTTAGATCATCTCTAAGTTACCTTTTGCTCTGACAAATCTTTCACTCCATGATGCCTAATCTGTGAAGAGTTACTAACAGCCAGTATGTAGTAGTGAGGGCCCTGTTTCTTTCTCGTGAAACAAGAGTGATACCACCTATGTCACCAAGATGGCTTGAGGATCACATTTAAAATGAGATCATGAGTGAAAGTGATTAGTACCAAACCTGTCAAATAGTGGTTTTCAGTAAATCGAAGTGTCCTTTATTAGGGCTCCCATTCATTAAAAATGTTTATTGAGCACCTACTATGTGCCAGACAGTGTTCTAGGAGCTGGGTACGTAATAATGAATAAAATAGATGAATTTGCTGCCTCCATGGAGCTTTTAGTAAACAGACTGATGAATATACACTAGCACAGCCTTTCTTCCCTTCCTTCCTCCCCGGCTCCCACTTCTCACCTCCTCTTTAACCCATTTGCTCTTAGCTCCTGTTGCAGATCCTGGTTGGCTAGAATCCAGCCCCAGGAGTGATAGATCTGAGGTCAGGACCGGTGTGTGAAACTCAGTGTTTTCATTCGATGGTCAGGGCTTGGGAAAGTGTGTGGACAAATGAACATGAATTGTGACAAGAGTAGGAACAGAGTTAACCAAAGTAAGTGGACACTGGGACTGTACTTTAGGATTCCCTGCAACTAAGAATGTTGACAACACTATACTGGTTAGTTCTTTAGATGAAATGCCTGGAAAGCCATACATACAGAAGAGTGTATAAAGAAAACCAAAACATTTATGATTCTACAATCAACCTACCTTCACTCAACACCATCTGGGGCAGGCTGAGCAAGGCGTTGGCTTCCCGGTGGTGAATAATACTTAATTTCTTCCTTCAAGGAGCTCACTTTTCCTGAGGGAGGCAGACATGAATCTCAATATATTGTGCTAAATGCTTTTTAAAGATGTGTAAATCCAAGGGGGTACACAACGTAAAGCAAAATATTGTGACCTCATCATTTTGACATGGCTGTTTCAATCCTGCTGAGGTAAAATGAAAAGTTCTTCTAAAATTGAACAGCCTCTAAAAGCATTGACTTTATTTTTAGGTAATGAAATCACAACTAAATATTGCAGGTAGGGATAGTGAACATAAAGTAACGTTGATAACAACACATATATGTAAACTTGTTGATTAAAAATTGACAAAAAGATTATATTACCTTAAAGAGATTTTTATCCACAAAATTTATCCAGATTTTTTAAAAGGTGGACTCCATAGAAAGAAACCTCAGTAACAACAAGAACAGATCAGAGAGCAGAAGGTATAATTTGAAAATTTTACCACTGGGAAAAAAAACTGATGAATTAAAAAATGTCTTTACTGTGATGTATATAGAAAAGACTATGTGGACATAATTTAAGTAAATATTAAAATACAAAAAATACATATAATTTCGCTGTGCTATAAAGATTACTGATCAAGGAATTCAAATGGTATAGTGGTTTGCCTATACAAAACTCATTTTGGAGGAAAATTAATCAATGTTGAAATCTACTAAGAGTGTACTTTGTGAGTCACAGAGCAGAGTGAAAAGAGATAATAGGTCTGGTGGAGGAGCAACAGGAAATATCTAGCATGTGTGTTGTCTCTCTTGTAAGTCAATAAAATTGACGAAAGATTTTTATGCACATTGTTTTATCCAAGTCATTTTTGTGTACCCCTGAGCAATTAATAGCACATTGCAAATTGTGTTATTTGGTAAAGATTTGCTGAGTGAATGAAGAATAAATGAACAAATGAATATTAAAAGGACAATAAAAAAAATAAAGGACAATATACCACTGACCCTCAAAGTATCACTAATCCACCTTTGGACAATAATACTTCCTGTCACTTTGTACTGTAGTAATCTATTTTTATGGTTATCATTCCTATCAGAGGGTGATTTTCTGAAGAGCAGGGAAGATGATTTTTATGTATGTTTATATTCTGTGCCTGTAATTTAGCAGGCATTCAGAGAATGTTTGCTAAATAAATGAATGACAAAATTTTATATTAAGGGTCAGGTTACTTAGTCTAAGAAAACTGAGATGTTTCTCTCATATTTCATTTTCATCATAATAGAAGTTCAGATGAGAGCCAAGGGCTGTAGAGGCTCCAACCCCTGTAGAATCAAATCTGATTAGGAAATATACTTTGTAAAGGTAACACCTACACCATTTAGGGGGAAAATACGAAATAAGATGATATCTACCAAGGGCTCTCCCCAGAGCTGGTTTCTACTCTATTATTTCCCTGGAGACCCCTGGCTCAGTTTGCTCCATTCTTAGCACAGCTTTTGGCCTCAGCCTTGACAGCAGCTTGGAGGCAGATAGGAACATTATTTCATGAAGTAATTTAGATATGATTTTTAAAAAAATCTCATCTTGGCACAAACCCTACGAGAGCTTGGGTTTAACCTGTTATTATGAGATTTCAGGGAATAATAAATAAATTGCAAAATGGAAAACTGCAGAAGCTTGGGATGAAAGAATTTAAATTGAATTTGCATACAATCCACTAGACATAAAAGGGCACTCAAAGGAGTGAAGTACACTAGTTAGGTAGTATAAAGTTCCCATTTTCACATATAATTATGGGAAAAACACTTGAAGAATTCCTTCTTTGCTCTAATTTTCAGACAAGATAGGTTATTTGAATTTCACAACTATCGGTAGAGTCTTTAGCCAAGGATGGTTGGAAATAGTTGATGTTAGGCCAGGAGTTTTAAGTTAAGTGTCTGGTTTATAATTATAAGACCTCTTTTGAGCTTCCACCTTTGGTTTGGTCTCAGAGATCCACTTTATTATCTAGCCCCATTCGACCACTGAAAAATTAGTACTTCAAGAAATGGGAGATACAGAATTCAGCTTTGTTGTAACACAGATGAAATATATGAATTTGGGCAAGTTATTCAACTTCTCTACGCCTGTCTCCTCATCTGTAAATGGAGACTGAAGGAGGAAAAGCACGTAAAGGCTGTAGCCCAGGGCCAGGCACACAGAAAATGCCCCAAGCTATAGTTAGAAGAACTGAGGCTCAGAGTTGGGAAGTGACCAACTCCAGGTCTCAAGCATACTCGCGTCTGCTTTCTAATCCAGCATCCTTTTGTATGTTTGTTGTTTTAAAAATAATTTATTAAAGTGAAATTCACATATCATAGAATTAACCATTTTAATTGAGAAATTTAGTGACATTTAGTACATTCACAGTGTTGTGCAACCACTCTATCTAGTTTTAAAACATTTCCATCATCCCAAAGTAACATCCCATACCCCTTAAGCATTCTCTCCTCCCTTCAGTCCCTGGCAACCATCAATCTGCGTTGTCTCTATGGAGTTATCTATTCTGGGCGTTTCATATAAGTGGAATCATATATCATGTAAACTGTTCTGTCTGTCTTCTTTTACCTAACAATGTTTTGGAGATATCTTTAAAAAAAAATCTGACCATCTATTTTTAATTTTCTTGTCAGTATATAGAAATATAATTATTTTTATATATTAACCTTATATCCAGTGACCACAATAAATTCACTTCTTCATTCTAGTCGTTTTTTTTTCCTTTGGTAGGTTCCTTAAAAATTTTCTACATAAGCAATAATGCCTTCTGTAAATTAAAAAAAATTAACTTATTTTTCCATATTGCAGTGCTTTTACTTCTTTTTCTTGCCCATTGCTATGGCTGAGAACTTCAGTGCATGAAACTGGAAGTATGAGAGTGGCCATCCTGCCAAAATGAGTCTGAGAATGAAGCCATAGATGCTAACCACACTAACGGAATAAGAGAGGAAAAGTAAGAAGAAAAGGAGAGAGAAACGGAGGGCTATAGAGTCAGAAATACCCCATGATGTCTCTTATCAGCATAGACAGAGACAAGCCCTTGCAATGAAGTATACTCAGGTCCCTCTTCCGTCTTTATGGATCCACCCAGACTGTAGCGTGACCTAAAGTGGTGGATTCTTGCAAGATTTTTTTTTTTTTTTAAAGCAATTATTAGGTACTCTCTGCTTCCCAAACATGTTGGTATAAACTTATCATGGACACAATTTAGGAATGTTTGCTGTTCAAGAATTGTGATTTCTACCATGTGGTGTTTTATAAACTGACTCAATGTGCTAGAATCATATCTACTCAAAGACTAGCAATTTTTAATGAGTAGGAGGTCATCCAATGTTTTCACTCCTAGGACTTTATTTTCCTTAGGCCTTAAGACATGCTCAAAAAGTTGAGAGTTTACCTAGACTTTTCATGTACATTATTCATGGTTGTTCCTCACAGAAACCCAAGTAAGCAAATCCAAGGGCATTCATTTTTCTAGCTGAGGAAACTGAGGCTCAGAAAGATGAATGACTTGCCCAAGATCACTCACAGGACAGGTGGCAGCACTGGGATTGGAATCTAAGTTCACCCTCCAAAGCCTAGATACTTTCTTCAACCTTCTGCCTCCTGCAGAGATGATGCAAAGACCCAGGCCCTTCATTCAGCTTCATGAAACACTGGGAGTTCGGGATTAGACAGGCCCCCAAACAACATATAGGGGGCTGTTACTCTAATGATGGCTGTGTTGGTGCTACACAACATAAACCATACATATCAATTGACTTGTACAAATGGGTAAGACTTAGTCAGATTTTCGCCTCAGCAGAAGAGAAGCTGGAAGGTATTTATAAATTTTTCTGCTCAAGATATTCTCAAAATTCACAAAAGAAGAAAATTAGGAAAGTATCAAGTGAGAAGAGAGATAAAACTTTAATAATTGATGGTATAAAAGTGACCTTGAGAAAAGGAATGGCCAGTTGGGTGACAGGAGTCTAATGAAGTCTTCATATATTGAAGTTCTAAGACATCTTTTGGGGGATGGAAACTATATTGAATGGTCAGCATATGAAATCATGTGCAGTTTCTCAAATATTACCCACTTTTCTGACCTCACAACTTTTCCTCTTGCTTTTCTCTCTTTGTAGATTGCCCTTCCTCCCATTGACCAGTGATGAACTCCTACTCACCCATCAAGACCCAGGTAAGATTACATGCTCAGTGAAGGCCTCAGCGGGCCCCAGAGAGTTCTCTGCTCCTCCCTCCTATGAGCCTTCCCTCTACCTTGTCCATATTTCTAAGAAATGAGATGCAATAATAGCCAAAAGTATTTAAAGTATTTGTATATATCTAACCACTTAACTCTAAGGTTCTTGAGGCAAGAGACCATGTCTTATTCATCTCTTCACCCTAGGACCTATATTATGTTGGCACACAGTAAGCTGTCAAAGGTTTTTGCGGCAAACTGAAAAATCTCACAACATGGGAAATTCTTCTATTAAACATACCTTATATAACTAGGAAAAAACTCATAAACATTTGCATATTGTCTCTAGGTTAGACACACTACTAAATAGAAATAAATGTCAGCATTTAATGAGATTTCTCTGCTTACAGTCATGCTGTGGAAAGAGAACATTGCCACTGCTTGTAGAATTTATTGACATTCAAGATTACATATTGCTTTTGGAATGCACACCATGAAATAGAAAAGGAATGGCTAGGAAAATGGGTGGAAATGTGAACATGTTGGTAAAAAATATTTAGCCTCTAAAATTATATTTGAATATATTTTTATTCAAATTAATGATCATAAATTACACATTCACCTAGGTGACAACTGAACCGATCCAGATATAAATCTTGACTCTGCCACCTGTTTCCTCTGTGAGCTCCTGAGCCTTTTTGACCCTTATCTGTCTGTTAAACAGAAGCATCGCATATTTTTGGAAAATGTAAGCTATTTGTTATTAAAATTATTTTGATGTGCAGAGGCTAATTACCCCATATCAATCCATAAGTTCAACCCAATCCCAATGAAAATTCCAATGGAATTTTTAGAATTTGCTGAAATATTTTCAACTTTATCTAGAATATCAGGATAGAGTGAGTCAAGAACACTTTGGAAAGGAGGAATGAGGAAGGCATACCTACACCAGATGTATGAAAGCACATTATAAAATCAGAGTAACTTAAAGTGTTGGTACAGGGATAGCGCCAGACATACAGGTAGTATCCTAGATTGTAGTAAACGATAAAAATGGGATTTCAGTTAGGAATGAGAGCAGAGGTTATTCAGTGAATGGATTGGCACAAGTGGCTAGTCATTTGGAAAAACGATAGCTAGTGCTACTGTGTATTAGATGTGGCTCTACGTTCTTTAATACCAGTTAACATTTTTAATTTTTGCGGGAATTTTACAAGTAGGTAGGTACTATTATTATCACTATTTTATAGATGAGGAAATTGAGACACAGATAAGCTAAATAATTTGTCCGAGGTCATACAACTAGTCAGGAATAGAGCTGGAATTTGAATCCAGGCAGTCTAGATTCTGGGTTCATGCTGTTAGCCACTATACATAATGTCTCACAGTCTCATGCCTTGCACCAAAATATGTTTCAAATGGACTGAAGTTTAAAAAGTAAACTTAGGGCTTCCCTGGTGGCGCAGTGGTTGAGAGTCCACCTGCCGATGCAGGGGACACGGGTTCGTGCCCTGGTCCGGGAAGATCTCACATGCCGCGGAGCGGCTGGGCCCGTGAGCCATGGCCGCTGAGCCTGCGCGTCCGGAGCCTGTGCTCTGCAACAGGAGAGGCCACAACAGTGAGAGGCCCGCGTACTGCAAAAAAAAAAAAAAAAAAAGTAAACTTAAAACCAGAAGAAAATATAAGCAAATTTTTCTATAATTTTGTGATGTGTAAGGCAGTTTAAAATGACATTAAAATCAGAAATTCTCAAAGAAAAATATAATAGATTTGACTATATAAAAATTTTAAAATATCTTAGCATAACCAAACCAAACCAACAAAAATACAAACATAAAAAATTAACCAAACCAACTAAACAAAAACAACACAGAAAATTGACACTATCAAATGACAAATTGGAACACATTATAAGCAACTTATATGGTCAAGTATTAATAGATCAATTAATAAAGAAAGAGTTCAATGGAGGATTGGTGAAATAACTCCTGGTATATTCATGCATTGTGGGAAATCACTGTTTTTAAAAACAACAGTGTAGAGTGTTATATACTGGCATAGAAGTATGCCTGTGGTACATTTGTTAACAATAGACAATTGCAAACTTACACTATAACCCTATTTTGTGGGAACAAAGCATGTGGGTGCTTGTGTGTTTGTGTGTGTGTTAATGTGTGTATACTTAGGAAAAAGCCTGAAATGGTAAAATCAAATATATCTCTGTGTAGTGTGGTTATGGATGATTTTTACCTTTTTCTTTACCTTTTTATTGTCAGAATTTCTTGCAATATGCATGTATTTCTTCAATTATGAAGTGGTTTAAGCCTTGAATTATCTTTTTCCATAAAGTCAATAGAAGAGGAAATTCCAAGAGCATAATAAATTTATATATTCCTAGATTACAGTAATTTCTATGATGTTTTGGTGGAATGCTTATGGTTTGGGGAGAATGGCTTATAATAAAAAGCCAACGAGACCATGTAAGTTACTAATTTCTACATTTAAATTGCACTGTGCTCTGAGTACATGACCTATACAGTTCCTACTTTGGGGAATTTATCTTGGCTTTATTTTTGCAGCCAAATATATGATATATATATTTGTATATGTATATGTTCCATCAGATCTTAGACGAAGGTATATTCTCTGTTTCTTCCCCTGAAATTTAATATGTGTATATTAAGTTATTAACTTTATTATTCATATCTTCTATATCCTTAGTTGGTTTTTATCCACCTGAATGGCTAAGCCTGGGGTATTTTAGTCTCTAATAGTTGTGTTTCTGTGTATTTTGCATAGTATTTCTAATATATATGCATTTTTATTCTTGAAATCTCTGCAGACTGTGCTTTTTGTCAATATGCAAGGATACTCCCTGTCCTGTTTAATGCTACTTGCTGCATATTCTCATTCCTTTCTGTTTGGGCCTGCTAAAACCAAAGTGTGCCTTTCCCTGTCTTTGTGTTTTTAATCTTTTAAAATAAGTTGATGCTTTGGTTTTAGAGTTGTCTGTTAGAGTTAGCTTTTGATTTCTGACCATTTATATTTGTTGTCACAACTGATATGTTTGGTCTCACTTCTATGATCATCTTTCTGTTATACTTCCATACTGATTTATTTTATTCTCCAAAGTGGGATGCATATACCCCAGTTGGTATACAAGATCATTCATTGGAGACTCTGAAGAAAATCTTATTTTTTATTTAAAAATTAAGAAAGATATTAAGCTTTACTGATATTTAATGTGAGTTAATACTGATACTTTGCTCCGGTCCACATGTAAGGCAGACTCAGTTTATTCGTAATAAGCGAGGCAGAGGAGAGTGATTTCTAGAAATCGGGGTGAATGACAGTGACACTTTTACATTTTGCTCACTTTCCTTGACTCACTGGAATTTTAGTGTACTTAATTAAGTGAATTTAAGGGTTCTTTTGTTTACTTTTATCTAAGCTAAGACACAGAATTGGCAAGGTTCTTAAAATGATTCCTGAAAAAAAAAAAAAAAAAAAAAAAACAGGTTAAAAGTAATGTCCATTATGCAAACGCAGACACAAAAGAACAATAACAACAGTCCTCTCCCCTCCCCCACAAAAGACCAGGTCTAGCTCATACTTTCCCTTTTCCTGGCAGGAATTCACCGTTAGCCACATTATGAGGTAATAGAGAGCATTTTCAAAAAGGATGTTTGGAAATGTTTCCCCGCTGTGTTTCCATTGCTATCTGATACATTGTTGAAAACGATATAAATGTTACACCTATAAAATATAATCTCTCATATCAACACACTTAAAAAACTTGAAACAGAATTTTTATTCTGTTTAAAAGTTTTAGAGAATTTTAAACCCATTTGTTGAAGCATAAAAATATAACATGTACTGACCCCTTTGCAAGAGCAATTGATGGATATCATGGAATGTGGAAATTTACTACCACATTTCAACAATAACGATTACATAATTGGTGGAGGGAATAGAACATAAATATTGTTATTATTAAGAGTAGTCAATGACATACTTCTTCACTTTGAATTTGTCTCTCTGTGAAGGATATTATTCAGCTATTACAGTCACTAAAACCAAGTTTGAAATAAAAATGGATGCAGAATCACACCTTTGAATGCCGTATTGCAAGATGTGGAGCTGAGCTTTTTAAAAACAGTGAGAGCAAATTAGTCATCCTCCTCCCACTAAAAGTTATTATTTTAGGGAAAGAAAAGTTATTAATAAATGCAATTAAATTTATTTTAAATTAAGGTTAATTTCAGGTTTATCTCATCCTTTTGATAATTCTATCACCATCTATTCTATAATACATGCACATAAACGTGTTCATACGATGGTACATGTGTTTGCATATAATTTATTAAGAAATCACTGGACTTGGGATGTATTGCTCAAAGTCTCACTCACCTTTAACTAAAAAATATATTTGAATATATTTTCTTTAATTATTGATGTTAAGAATTAAGCTATATTAATTTCCATTGCATAAGAAATTTAATATACTTTTATGCATCTTTTCCCACATGTCCTACTTTTATTGATAATAATTTTTGACTTTAATGCAAATTATTGTCATCTTAATCATATAGCTTCTCTTTTATGAATTATTATTAACATCTGCATTAATTTTAAAACTATATTTTTTATTATTTAAACAACTCTTTATTAAGTTCCATTGCATCACTGAAGCTTTTCTACCACAACTTTCATGTTCTTGAATTTTAAATTTATGGTTTAGGTCTTGATTAAATCTTCAAGTAATTTTTATCCACATATGCTTTTCTGGAAACATATATGGGTGATACAGTTTCCATGTCTTATATCCTTCAGTATAGCATACTCAGCCTCATATATATAAAGCAATTGTCTAGTTTTAGAATTTTTTGTCACAGTCTTTTCCCCTCAAAATGCTCTAGATATCACTCCACTGTTTTCTGGAAGTTTGTAATACAGAGATATCTGTTTTAACTCTATTTTATTTTATGTTATTTTCC